TAATAAGCCGAATAAATGTTTGTAAAAAAGATATAGAACAATGCTTATTTTAATGTATTTGTAGTAAATACAATGGCTAATTTTTAATTCGTATTTTTTTTGCTTTTAACCAAACTGATCCTTTAAAGAACGGATTTAAAAAAGCTTATATTTTAACTAGAAAAGTATAATTTATTATGTAAAGTGTTTAATTGTATAATTTAATGAAAAAATACATATGTATGTATGTATTTTGTGTCAGATGGAATAGAAAATAGAATATATCGGATGCCACTAATGTTATGTCATTAAACACATAACCAATGTTAATAGGTATAGTACTGAACTCACGGATGGTACTTTTGAATTGAGCGGTCGGTTCAATTTAACGATACCTGCAAATTGACCCATTTCGAATTATTTAAGCATATACTAAGATAAACGTATTGTTCAATGTATATTACTTATGCTATATTTGTCATTCAAAGACATTGTTCTTGCAGATGATTACAAAAATATCGGCGAATCTTGTTTAGCTGATAAATATAATGAAGCAAAAATAATTTGCAACAGCGTATGCTTTGAGTCAAACAATATGTCAAAATTATAAAAAAAGACCGTATGTATAACTGTAGAGTAAACTTTTATGAAAAATATAATGGTTAACGACAGTTGATTATAAAACATAGACACTTGTATATATTTATAAATCATTACTTTAATTTGGCCAATTATTAAAAATAATAGCGTACTACATTTAGTTGTAGGTACACTATTATTGGATAATTAATAGGAAATTCATATTTTGCGCGTTACGTTTTGATTTTTACGATGAACTATAGGTATTATACTTAGTAAATGATTATATAAATATAATGCAGTCGGATAGGAAAAACGAGACGTTAGACGTTTTTTTATAGACTACAGTAATACTAAGACAATTAGGGGGCTCCTCAAACAAACAATTTGTGTGATAAAGCCATTATAGTTTGTAAGACTATAGTTTATAAATCTGTATTTTTAGATTATTTTTTAAATGAAAATCAATAAATTAGTTTATGCGCTACGCTGTCCATATAGTGCTCGGTATATGCTTACCGATAAAATCAAACCAGTTAAAAGTGAAAAATAAAAAAAATAAAAATAAATACTACAAGTATATAAATCAAAAATCTATTAACTTTTGTTGAAAATGCATACATATCATATGCGATTACTAATTTACATAAATTGATATGATCGAAGCTTCACTTCGGTTATTTGATTTATTTCTGTTTTTAATTTATAGCTTACTTGAAATAATTAATAAACATTATTCCAGCTTCGATGTAAATATCGGAAGCTGAAAAAAAGTTTTGGAAATAAAACGTGGCTTAACAAATTAAAACATTAATTAATAATTGATTGATTTCAACATTTAACGTTAAGCTGACCTAATTGGTCCACTTCAGTATCGTATTTCAGAAATGTTTGGCGCTGAGCAAGTGAGAGGTGAGATGTAACTTACGACCTTCTTTAAAACAATCCATTTCCATGTAGAAAATATTATACTGCCATTCGGGAAGCTATATTTTAACTAAGGTCTAAGACATAAATGAAATTTTTTGTCAAAATATTTACCTGTATTAACAGTGCCCGAATTGACATTACAGATGTATAAAGTAGGATTTTTATTAGGTTTTCAACGACGGTGGGAATTTATGGTGATGTCGCGTTATAAGTTCATTCCAACTCTACCTTAGATTTCCACTACAAACGCATTTTTTATACACATTCATTATTCATGTTCAGTTACTCGGCGCAAAACCAATAATCACCCTCGACGTGCGCCAAAAAACAAAACGTTGCCAGAAATATTTCCTTTGATCATACAGAGTTCAACTGCAAGCAAAACCGAGAAAGTCCTAAATAAAATATTTTTGTTTGAACCTGCATTGCATTCGAATCAACGTAACTGACTTTGATTGCAGTTATTATGTAGTTGAATTGCGAAGAAGGGTGAAGGAGAGAATAAAATATAGTTATGCGAAAGGAACCATCGCAGCATGTGTGATGTATTTATTTGTGCGATTTTTGACGAAACGTTAGTAATATAGTAGTCTACAGTGAAACATTAAACACTCAATGTGAGAAGAAAACGGGATTGTTAAGTACTTCACAGATCTAAATTAGAGATATGTATGTATTTTATACAGTAAATGAAAGATGATAATTTAAACTTTAAGAGTTGTCGATAGGAGAAAAAATATTAGGTACTAGATATTGACATGGATATAGAAACGTGCTTTGAAAGAAGATAGAAAAATCAAGTCAGATCAATTAAATCCTGCACAGTGGAGTCGAGGCATAGTGATGAGAACGGAGTATATTGTAGTAGGAAAGATTACATATCTACAGTAACTATTTTACAACTAAGATTTTGTACTTTGAAAGTATATAAGCAAATAGTATTAAATTTGAATCACGTTTTCATATTAGTTTATTAAAATTGTTGTAATTAATGAAAAAACGTCTTTGTAAAACAACAATTATTTACAGCAATAAATTATTATAAACTGGGTCTTTAAAATCTAAACTTGACAATATTCGTAAATCGTAGTCGTTTCAATAATAAACGGTATTTCCTTAGTTTATATAATTTATACATTTTTAAGAGCAACGCGATTGGACTATCGATAACCGTACATTATTTATTGGTTAACAGTTGCTTTAAATTTATTCTGCACGCAAAGTGTATTGTACAAATATAACACATTATACACGGATGGTAATTAAAAGTAGTGGATGGGCGTGTGGCAGGGGGGTTGAATACAATTAAATATCTACTCTGCTATAATGTATAATAACGGGTCACGAAAAATTGAAATTAATATTTAAAAAATAGACGAAATATGTTAATCGTAGTGTATGATTTTTCGGGTGTTCACGTAGATATTTCTTCAAGTTTTGAGATGATTTATTAAAAAAAAATTCACCTTTTGTGTTTTTTTAAAACTCACCATAAATCTTCGGGTTTAATTTATATGTATTTTACAGGTTAGCGTCCGCCTAATAATATTAGGCCTAATGGAAAGTATATGAAAAAAAAACAAAAAACTATCAAAGCTTCGAAAACACATAGTAGATGTAATTTATAGGATCTAGAACCAATAATATTTTAGAGTAACATAAGAACTTTCGCAGTATTGAGTTTGTAAGAGCGCTTTATTATAAGCGCGCACGTGTAAACTTACAGTATAATATTTTAGATAAATTACATATTTAGGTAAAGTAAATCACATCGTTTGTTTTTTAAATAAATCAAATTTATTACTTTAAGAGGTTTTAAATTATAAACTGGCACGCCATGTACACGTACTGTAAAGCTGTTTGTAGATTATTCAAAATATTAACTTTCCATAAATTTGCTTTAAAGCGATTTTAATCAGTGATCGCCTTGACTCCACTGTAATGACGTTTGACTACCGAGTACCTCCCAGGAAGTATTTCTATCATTCTATTTTAATTTAAAATGTTTAACCAGGCACCCAAATAAACACGAAAAATCATAGTTTTCAATTTGTAATTTAAGCTAATTTTATTTGAAAGCACCAGCGCCAAGTATAGCGACAAAAAAATTTTAAAATAATCACCAACTAATTTAATGAACTAAATGATGAACCTACGAGTTGAAATATATGATTGGGGAGCAATAAAAGTGCCAGTTCGGGAATTGTCCATTAGCAAGAACTGCTAAGTTGTTAAATCGATTAGCCAAACATGTTATGTTTCGTGCAAACGCATTGGACGTATTAGGGTATTAATATGTGTCGCGTAACAACGCCATGCCGATGTTAATTTTTATGTTAATTACTTGTCATGTGAAGACATCACGTCTGACTTTCAAAGACAGTGAACTTGAACGTCGTTTATTTTCGTCACTTGACATTGCAAAATGTATATAAGAGATATACCGAAGTCGCATGTCATGTCGTACAGGATATCTGATTAAATTCGTTTAAGTTCTATTGGGATGTAAAAGTCAAAGTTGTCCAAACTCTTATATGTGTAGTGCGCGCCCAGAAACTTTTAAAGGATCATCTTAAGTTTTATCATAGCCTTCGAATATAGTTGACGTTTTAGTTTATTATTTATTTTTCAAAAAAAACCCTTATTCTACAATATTCAATTAGCCTCCGTATTATTATTTAGTAAAAATGAGAAAATATTGTGGCAATAGAATAGTATTTTTATATAGCTTCAAACGAACGGGCTTTGGAAATCTTTCCTTAGAAATGTGTATGAGTCAAAGGTACATAAATCGTCTGATGTGGAATAAACGAATCGTATTACCACAAATATAAGGTACTTTATCGTCGAGAGAGAATTTTTTTTAGGTATGTTTTATTCTAGAGGATAAACTGAGACGGCTGCTTCTCTCAAACTAAAACGACACATATTATCGTTAACCTAACCACGTGCTATCCGGTTAAAATGACATTTCCCTCGGGTATTTCTTATTGCACGTATCCATTAGAATGGATATTATTATTTTTTCATTGTAATCGATATAAGTAAAAATGCATGCCATTCGTGCGTTTTCTGTTGATCAAATGGGACGTTTTATTGAAACTGTAGTAAAGATGGCAGGTTGAATTTCAACACAATAATAGTAAGTTCCAATTTTCCAAAGATTTTATTAAACGCTTTTAAACTTTTTACATACAACTCAGCATTCATTTTTGAATCTTCCGAGTTCATTCGGGTCAGGATACCAAACAAATGTAAATTGAGCGTTCAACGATTGTTTAGATGATTATAGTGGCAATTTAAATAATAAATGAATAGGCCATAACCTATGTTGTTTGAATAATTGTATTAATGTGATAATGGGCCACTGAAACTGGTGTACTGCTCATATATTTCACGTTAAATTAAATAAAAATCTAATATATTTCATGTTATATGTATATTGTAATAAAACACAAAATCAATTTGGCTAATGGTATGTTTTAACTAAACGATATTTTATCTGTTTGCAGCCTGTTGAATTACAATTCCATCACCGAAGTCGGACCGTCGTCGTTTCACGACACTCAAATTGCCAAAATGCAAGTATCTATTAGATTGTTATTGGGTCCCGACCCAGAGAGGGTGTGTTAGTTATAAGTCCCGTGTATGTACTATTTATTGTGTGTGATTAATCCAATAAAATATGGTATCGGAAAACCGGGGGAAAGTAACGCCTTATCAGGCTGGTTCCCCCCGGCATTCTCTGGATGAAAAAAAGTATCTATTAGCTATTTTGAATTCTGAGTTTTTTTGATACTTGTGACATCATCATTATCATCGTCACGGGACCTGAGTTAATATGTTTACTAATAAGTAATATATAACGTTTCTAGAAGTCTGAGAGGCAATCGCAGGCTACAAAAGCTGGACGTCGACGCGTTCGTGGGCATCAAAAGTCTCCGCACTTTGTGAGTATCGAAAAAGCTTATCAGTGCGCAAGAAGTTTTAATTGTACAATCGGGTCGTGCCCGAAATACTTTCAAATGTCGTTTTCTGCGCGCTTAACGAGTTTGACACCGTGATATTATTACAAAACTTCTTGCCGAGAAGCTTCTTTTGACTAATATTACTTATCCCAACAATGTTTTCTCCGTCTGCAGGGACTTATCCGAAACGTCGATCCGACACCTGCCCACAAGCGGCCTGGAAGAGTTGGACATATTGAAAATCGAACACACGCACACCTTGAAAGTTTTCCCGTCAATTTACAACTTTAAGGTAACAATGGCGATTTGTAAACGCAATAAAAACTTGTGCTTTCGATGTCAAATATTTTCAAACCCCGGCACATTATGGCATTGTACGAAATCAATAATAATAAAGCTAATATTCGCCATTTAGTTATCATTGATCCAAGAATATCTAGTATCTGGTCCCAAATTTGTCAGGCCCATAGTCAAAATTATTACCTTATATGCTAATACACTTTAAGGTTTATACATGTTTTAAAAGTTTTAATTTGTTTCAATAAATATCTACAATAAAAATTATTTAGTCCTATCACAATGGTCACGATACGAAGAATAATGTAAAAATACATTAAAAATCCGACTACATTGCTGATACAGACTTCACGTTATGACATTCAACACGGATAAACTATAACACTGACGAGCAAGGCTATTATTTACGGAATATATATCACAGTGCCCATATTCCACTAATTTTTTAATAATAATCGTTAACAAATCAAATTTTCCATGTTATTACGTCTAATGTTTTTTTCTGTTACATACAACTAAAAAAATAATACTTTGTCAAAAGAACCTATCGATATACGATTCTATGAAGCTCTAATTGGAAATTAAGAGTCTAGTCTCAATTTTATGCCCTGTCACCAACAATTGAACTAGTTGCATCCAGTAGGTGGTACAAACTAGTTCATAACCTTCATTTGTGTCGTCATTGCAATTTAAACGTGATATTAGCTCGTTAATACTGTTACACAAGTTTACTAATACATTTTTTTATTTTTAAAAATGAATTTCATGCAATAACGGCTAGTCGTTAATTGAGTGATTTTCACACTTTAAATGAACGGGTTAATTAAAGTATTTTATCAAAGTCAATTCTACACAAGAAATGCCACAGCAATCGCTTATCGGACTTCTCCAATTACACAGCTGTTGAACGTTTTAACACTGTTTTATTAGGTCTGACTTAAGTAATACAAATCTTAATATCATATTATTATTGTTCGAATCAAAACACTATGAAAACTGTTCTATGTTGCTAAAGCGTACCACAACAACATGACTATACATGTTACTGACAACTCTAAAATAGCTTTACAGATTAATAATCCGTTATTAAATGGAATGAAGAGGATATTTTTGGCTCAATGATAATCACAAGAATAAAACTATAGGTATTTTTTAAAGAAATGTGTGTATTATATTTATTTTGTAATTTTGTATGTGTTTCAAGTTATATAAATATAAATGTACATTTTGTTTTTGAATAATGTTTAGAACATCCAAGAAGCATGGCTGACGTATCCGTATCATTGCTGTGCTTTTCATTTTCCACAAACACACAACCCCAAAGAATATGCGGATCACGAGGCGAGTAACTATTCTGTGTTCTTATTTGACTTTTCCGGTTTTATTTTTAATAGCTTCGATTCGGAGCTGAAAATGTATTATACAATGATGTGTTTTTGGGTTTCTATTTCTTTTCAATTTTTTTTTTGTCTAGTCATCCGATACATCCTAATTCGCTGAACTTATTTATTCGTGTAGCTAGTCTATATATCAAAAATCGTACTTTATTTGACCAAAAATTAAAAAATATCACCCCTTCCCGTATAAATCTAAAAAAGCACTCGAAAATATTACTAATTTTTCATCTTAAAATTACGGCGTGATATAACTTTTTTTAAATAGTTTAATTACTTCCAAACTGGCGTGAGATGATTTTTAGGTATAGTACTACCGATATACAGTGCAACCCTAAGAATATATCATTAACCTCTTCCCCCAGAAAGGTGGAATTTTCCATTTATTTTGCTTATTTAGATGTAGTTTAAGGATTCAAGGTCTGTAAATTAGACTAAAGGTTTACATAGTCAAGATATATGATCAAACCTTTAAATAAAAGGGACAATCACACTCGAGCAAATGATAAACCATAAAAAAAAAATGAAACTAATAATATGTAATATAATATAATTCTATCTATTTTTTATTTATATATTTAATATTTCTATATAAGACCTCTTCGAAAGTATAATAGGTTTTGTTCTTGCTATGTCCCAATCCCACTGTGCTGGTTTTTAACATTTGTATATGTACAACAGAAAACACGCCATAACATAAATAATATTACATAATCTTTAGTTAGATACCTTAGTTAAATCTTACCTTTTCGTGTTAGCCACACTCCACTCACGTAATAATTACCTTCTTCTACGGGAATTTCGGCGGGACCAATTTTATATAGGGTTTATTCGTTCGCGTCTTATTATGATATACTGACATTTCGTTGTACTCTTATACTATCCTAACAGAGATAGAGCTGGCTTGAGAGCTCTTACATTTTACAAATAATTGATAGGCACCTATACAGTCCTTTACAGTCATTATATATTATTATTTTTGTTCTGATATTTGCTTTGACAATAGATGTTTGTGCAAAAAATGAGTCTTCAATGCAGGACTATGACTTCGGAAATGTCACAGGTCATTTCCAACTCATCGACCACAGACAATTTTTTTTCGGAGGAAGAAACATTTCACGCCAATGGCAAGTAGTATATTGATTCCGTAAAGCTGCCGTAGAAGTTGTTAGTTTAAAATATGAATTGTTTGTTTTGTTTATTACTGTCTTTAGGAGTGACAGTAGGTACTCAGTTCGTAGCCGTTTGCGGTAACATTTCCAAAAACTACCAGGCGGTAAAATGCTACCCCGAGCCGGACGCGTTCAACCCTTGCGAAGACCTAATGGGCAACTGGACCCTTCGAGTGGCCGTTTGGATAGTAGCAGTTGCCGCACTGTTGGGCAACATGGCCGTGCTGTTCGTGTTGCTCAGCAGTCGGTTCAGACTGACCGTACCCAAGTTTCTTATGTGCAACTTAGCCATCGCCGACTTTTGCATGGGCCTCTATCTGTTGCTCATAGCCGTCATGGATGCCCGATCGATTGGACACTACTTCAATCACGCCATTTTCTGGCAGAGGGGTAAGCGTTTGTCCCATACTATTTACGCATAGTGTTCCCCGTCTCGGCATGACGTTAGAAAAATGGCTTAGGCTTAAAGCAATCTAGTTAAAAAGTAATAACTAACCGAAAAACGCGAACAAGGTTCGATACCTTCACTTTGGACACCTTTTCCGATGAGATGACGCGATGATATATTACTATTGTCAAATAATAGTAATATTACTTCAAGTGTAAGACAGGCTATAAGGATAAATATAATTTTCAATTTTGTACATCAATCACCCGTCAGTAAGAAATATAAACAGCGTACGGGTGCGTACATCGTTTAAAAGTTATCTATTAAAAGCTCACGAGTCAGGAGCAAAATCAATCCAAGCGTATGAGTTTACACTAGATCGCTTATATTGGACGGAGTCTTTGAAAATGTCGTAAAGCTCATAATATGGTATAAATATAGACTTAACGGCTAACTTAATGAAATAACCCATTTTTTTAAATGTTACTCGTAGTCGCGCATACACACAGGTTATCTTGAAACTGTTTAGTCATGATCGGATATTTTTGTTTTTAATCCGATCCGTCGGTCCGCCACTCAAAGCCGTTGTATAAAATGTACGGTCTTTTTGTGTATATTTGTTCGTGTTATTGTATTTTGTATCGCTCATATTCGTTACCATAGGTCGGTTGTGCATTTCCGCAAACACCCTCTCCCCCTTTATATAATATAGCATAAGAGAGTTATTAGATTATGTTTAACGTCCACGATACACAATAACAGTTTCCTCGTATTAACTTATATATATTTTACGTGATGTGTTAAATATTATAACGGTTATAAGTCTGAAATGACAAATAAAACGCTAACTATGCAAAGTTTTCACTATGTGATTTATTATATGACGCGAGCTCTAAAAAAATAGTTTTAAGTCAACATTTAGAGTTCACATAAAGTTCATTCCTCATCCCTACCTTTTATTATGAATATACATTAAAAATATACTAGAGGTTTGCTACCACAAACGAGACATTTTGTAATATACCTAATTGTTAGCACCTTGCCGTTGACCTACACGATCAAAGAGTGTATTATTTGGCAGACATTAAAATTCAATCATACAAAATCAATTCTTATTATTTAATGAGCGCTGCGGTTGAATTACCAACATGTCCACTAGTAGGTTAGATTAGGATTTTTTTCATTTACTATTTTGTACTCGTTTAACAAGATGAACAGCTGTCTGCTTTTGAGCAACGTTTAAATGTTTACTACAACAACGTATTATAATGAACGTCGGTACTTGTGTGCCCATAAAACAATATGCGTTATAAACTTAATACTATACTATGGCTGTTACTTTTTCATACAGTGCCAATATAATGAAATTATTTAAAAATAACCAGGTAATATAAAAAATACTGTTATCAAATACTATTCTACTGGGAAAAACTTTATTATTGTCATACGCGTTAGTTATGTAAACTCCTGTGCATTGTACACCATAAAATATTCACATAAAGTCCTGTTGAATAAAATAGCGGATATTATGCAGAAAAATAATAAATGAAGCCTGTGCCTACCGCAAAAATTTCTAATTAAAACAACCAGTTCCGTTTTCTTAAAAAAATAAATAATTAAGAGCTTCAAAAATAAAATTATAAATCCTTTTTTTTAGATTAAATTTTAAACAAGTTCTTAATGATTTTAATTTTAACAATATTTCATATTATATTCCTGCAGGTGTTGGTTGCCAAGTGGCTGGATTCCTGACAGTATTCTCTTGCATGTTGTCCGTGTTTACTCTGACCATTATCACGGGAGAACGTTGGTACACCATCACATACGCTATTCACCTAAACCGACGACTCAAATTGGGTGCTTCAGTAAACATAATGGCTGTTGGTTGGCTGTTCTCAATTTTAATGGGTGCCCTGCCACTGTTGGGCACTAGCGGTTACTCGAAAACCAGGTGAGTTGCAGCAAAACGAAATAATGGAAAACATCGTTTCTTGGTATTCGATCAGTTTTCTTTAGCTAGTTTCGATAATTTGATAAATCTCTTTTTGAATATTAATGGCTGCCAGAGTAAAAGCAATATTCGAGAAGATTTATTTTAATGGGTATTCGATCATTGCAACGCATTTCCGGATAAATTAATACCACCGTTCAATTACCGTTCTTGCATTAGTTTACCTATAAAAAACGCCAAAAATTATCATAGGCTTTATAATCGAATGTTTTCAATTCTGTTTAATAAAAAAAAGAAGGATTCAAAGCTACAGGGCGCATCAATTACAATATCCCGTTTACCATATATTTATTATAGCCGTAAAACATAATTGAAATTTGTAATTACCCAAAAATACCATTATTTCTGAATTATTTCGGATTATTATTATTTAATATTTCGGTAATTTATAGTTGTGGTGGAATTAAATCGATAAACCATAAACACTGTATATCATCTCTTTTTGTGAGAAACCCTTAACCTTAGTGTAGAGCTAGCATTAACGTTTTCACACTCGTTTTATTTCATGTCCAGTTCATATTGGCCCTTTGACGACTGTTAAGTTATTCAAATTTGTATTGTTGAGTAAAACTGTTAGGTCAGACTTGGCCGTTTCACAACAAATTTAACATTAAGACGGGCACATTAACATTAATGGTCGGACTATATTTCTAGTGTAATATAAAATGCTAGTCCAAATGAATTTGCTCGTTTTCCATATAGACTTATATTCATCGTTCTATAACGACATAAACTTGGACCGTTCGGTATGGTTTCAGCATATGTCTACCGATGGAAAATTCTACTTCCATGGACAAGCTTTACCTGTTCTCGTTGCTCATGTTCAACGGGTTGGCGTTCGTTGTGATTTGCGCTTGTTACGCCAAAATGTACATATCCATCCGAGGAGGCCGGGAAGCGGTGGCGTCGGTGGCACGGTCCGACATGACCGTGGCCAAGCGCATGGCTTTACTCGTGTTCACCGACTTTGCTTGCTGGGCGCCGGTGGCGTTCTTCGGACTGACTGCGCTGGCCGGTTACCCGCTGATCGACGTGCCCAAGACGAAAATCCTACTCGTCTTCTTCTATCCACTCAATTCGTGCGCCAACCCTTATCTGTATGCGCTACTCACGCAACAGTACCGCCGGGACCTATTTGCCTTGCTCAGCCGTTTCGGAGTGTGCAGCGATCGGGTCAACGAATACAAGGGAGGTCCTGGTGGCGGCGGTGGTGTGGGTGGAGGTGGTGGAGTGACAGCTTGTGGCGGCCGCCGAAAGACTTGCCACGACGCGCGGTACGACAGACGGGCAACCGGCGACCAGGGTCAGATCAATCATCGAGGCTCGCTCATGACCACCGTCACGTCTGTCGATTCCGTGGTGGCCACAACCAGGCCGGGATCCTTGACGCCCCTGCAGGAGAACGCGGCCATCAGTCAGCTGGAACTTTTGCCCCTTCAGCCGAACAAGACCTGACACATATCCGAACAGGACGACGAATCCACTTTAGTCGCCGTCATTTGTATTCCTATGGGGCAGCAATGAATACTAAAATGAACACATCAAGTTAACATTTTTCGTTCAAATGATAAATAACCGTCCGGCGGTTGTCCGCATTTTCTCTTTTACCCAATTTACAATACAACCGACCTATGGTACTTTTTGTAGTATGACGACTTTCCATTATCGTTTATAAAATGGTTGTTAATTATTATTGTATAATGTACGCTGAAGTATTTCACTTTTTATTGCTGTAAATAACTTAACCTCATGGAGGAAAAAGGTTTGTAAACGATCTTTGCAGTAAAAAAACCTAAAGAGATTCCAAACGGTACAATGTGTTATATTTTATAATTTGTAGAGATTAACGCAAGTCTTTCCATAAAATAAATCACATTCTAAGTAGACTTAAATAAATTATAATTTGTTCATTAGATATTAATCATGTATAGAAGCTAAAAATCGATTGGTGGTGATTTTAAAAATCACCACCACATTTGAAGAAGTATTATTTTTTCTTTGCACTTTTCAAACGAAAACCGGTCAATACGATTATTTTTAATCGACTAAAAATTGTTTAAAATTGTAAGAAAATATAAAATGTATCGTAATTTATTGTGTAAATCATTTTGTAAATAATGGCTAATGACCTAGTTATCAAAGCTTACTTAGTATATGATTAAAACATTTTTTGAAAATATTATTTAGATTTATGTAGATTACTGTAGATGAATATTATAAAAAATATAAATAGTATAAACCACATCATATTATAGTCATTGTATAAGTATAAGTATAGGTAAATCGAATAACATTAACTTATGTCAATATTTTTTAATGTGTTTTATCAATCGAAAAGCAATATTAGAAATACATTGTAAACAAATATAAGTTGTGAATGCATACGAGTAAGGCACGATTCGATATCTAAAATTGTATTAAAAAAAATGTAGTCGAGTAAATTATCAATATTTATTAGTACTATAAATTGACTATAAGCGTTGTGCTTAGTATTTATCTATACAAAAATCTTTAAATATCTGTAATCTTGTATTTGAACTTTGTTGTAATTGTAAGTATATTGTAATATATTATTATATTATACGACGTATACCATTGAATGAACTTTCGTGATAAATGTTTTGGTCGTTAAAGAGTTAATGCAATAGAAAGAAAGAGTTCATGTGATTAATATTATTGTTAGGTAAATTAAATTTGTTCTATAGGTAAATAAATGTATGTTAAACATATAATATGGTTAAGTGCAAATAACATGTCAGCAGATATGTTGAGTTTACCCTAATGTTTTATACATGTTTTATACATGTATAGATGAAAATAATTTATTATTTTCAACTATACCCACTCTTAAATTATCAATTAAAAATTTCTATTATACATTACAATTAGTCGCTTAAAAGGTAAGTCCTAAATGGAACCATACTGACTGCGAGTTACTAAAATAAAATAACGCTTCTATAAGTCATTGTGGGCATATCAATATGGATTGTGATAATAATTCATTACTCAAGAAAGCTATAAATAACAGACGGAGCATTTCTAGAGGTCAGAGGTTTCAAAAATTTTAGTCAGCAAAATAATGGTGGTTCGTTTTGGGTCGTTCGATTTTACAGTATATTTTATAGTTGCTGTTGTTAGTGCAGTAACACGTGTCGCTAACCGATTAAAGTTCCTTTAAAAACGAAGAAAATTGGTGGTAAATGTAGGGCAAACTTTTTCCTCATTTTGTTAAGAATGACAAAGGTCAAAAGGCCTGATGCCGGAGGATTAACGTTTCACGCCAAGCACATTCCGCATTCGCATCACGTTTCTTCCTTCCCTCGCAATAGAAACACATATTCTGTCAATAGGAGAAATATTAACTTGCATTTTGTATGCCAAACCCGCTTTTAAACGATACCAAATCGATTTTAAAAATTAAAATTAATGTGTTCAATTTTTCAATTTTTCAATGAAAATTATATTACTAAAAACAAACTAATACAAAAACAAAATGCTTATTAAAAAGTCAAATATTGTTGTTGTTTTTTTATTAAATTATTATATTTTGTGTCAATTTCGTCATATTTCTTCAGCAAATAGAATACAAAAACAAACGTTATGAATGCCTAATGATTGGTGTTACCATTGCAAATTGTTTTATAAATATATTATACATGTTAGACTATAATATGTGTATACATGTACATAATAATAAGTGTGGTTAACGACCACTGTAGGTACCTACCTAACAACAAGGCTACCACAGTGGTTGTTGGTCTTTACATGCACATAATAAACACTGACCACAAAACAAAACAAAAAGCATAACGAACCGACCAAGACGTATTTGCGCGTTGATTAATACAAAATGTTTCACATGTTTGTTTTTGTGATTTATTTGAGTTACAGAAGTATTAAAATGTATTACTGTTTATAAATTAAATACCAACAAGGGTACGCGTTCCATCATAATACAAGCTTTAAGGGGACCTATACATATTTCATCTTCACTATATAACCTATGCGACATGCGTACATGACGTATCATACATAATAAAAGCTACAAACTCTAATTGTTTAAGAAAAAAGACGGTTTAAATCTTTAAGATTATATATTTATTATAATCTAATATATATATATATATATTGATACAAAAACGAGTTTTTAAATTGGTAAACAATTTCTGATCTATAAAGATTGTTTTTTTTTTTAATGGGTCGAGCGATTTAACAAGTATCATCACACAGTTTAAAATTAATTTAATTTAAGTTTAAAACAAATTGCATTATGTGATGAGCTGACAGCTAACAAGTCAGCCTAAAACAATATGTTTAAATCAATACTATCTCCGCTCTGCGCTGCAGCTAAAACTATGGTAATGACAATTTAATTTAAATAGAAATAAAAAAATTAGCATTGGTACGAATAGCAGACAGTATTATTACTTATTTTAATTTGCATGCTTAGCTAACCGAGTATAACTACCAAAATATTTGAGCCAACACCCATCATTTTATTAGTTTGACATAAAGCATATTTAATTACTACCTATATCATAAAAAAAATTAGTAATTTATTCTATACAAACGGCTGGAATATACTTTAATTCAAGCTCTAAATTACGATTTTGCGAAAAGTCACCCTTTAATAAATTAACTCAAAGAACTTAAATTTCTATTAAACATTGATACAATATAAAAATTGATGCCTGCCATTTTTTAAGTGCTATGAATAAAGAAGGCACTCATGCAATATATATTATAATAGCCACGCCATGTTGAACTGTCACACAAACAAATATTTAGTACCATTTTTAAATGTAGCGGTATATTACTTTTCGAATCAAAACTGTTTCACAAGAAAATAAAAGGTAATCCGAATAGGAACTACTATCACTTACGCCTGTCGAAAATTAAATCTTAAAAGTTAGTGATAGTGAACACAAATAAATAATAACTAAGTCTTAAGTAGGGCAAAATAATATTATACAATATAATATGTACGTTAATCTTGGTTGTAATTGTAAACTAATTTGTACAATCTGTACATTTAAATGTTAATGACGTGGTTCATCAAAAAGTAATTTACACCTGACATTGTGCGGAAGGATGGGAAATGAGAATATAATAAGAAATTCACTGTACCATAACACCCATAGCCCGTTCTTGTCTAATGGTTTATATATTCTACATTGATGTATGATGATCGAGGACTAGCTGATAAAATATTTTTTGAAATTGTCAACGCCGTGCTATACATAGATATGAGGAGGGCCATGCTTGTCATTATTAACAATCAATCAAAAACCATGTTTGGAAAATAAAATATGCTTCCCCCGGCAAAAACAAAAAAACCTTAACGAATGAATGATAATTGAGTGGATAGTTAAATCATATTTGCCTGTTGTTAATTATTTATACATAATGCCGGGTATAAGCGAGCAAGGTCGAAGTCTATACCATGGCCTTACATAATCCACGAGTATACCTAAACAATTAAATGATTGATGAAAGGTACATCGTGTATATTGTTCTACCGTTCGTCGTTGAACCTGTCATTTTAGCATGTACATGTCATAGTATAATATTATATTGTGCTCAATTGTAACTAAGGAAATGCATTTATAATATTATTGTACATAAGTGCATTCGGCAGTGAACTGGATAGATACAACTACACAACATTATTTACAGTATTTCGAATACATTATTGATGTGTACCGCCTCACCAGAGCTTATTCCATAAAGTGCGTCCTATAAAACATTGAAAAAAAAAATACAGAAATACTATTATTCACAGAATGTTAATAAAAAATAACCTATACAAATATAAGGAAGGATAGGAAACAATAAACATACAAATAAGACTTGATAACGACCGTTGATTTTGCGTAGTGACTAATAAAACTAACATTAATTATTTGTTGGTTTAGATGTTTTTATTATGAACCCGTCAATTAATTGTATAAAGTTAAAAAAAAAAAAACGATTTTAATATTTAATGAAATTTACAGTAAGAAGCGATTTAGAATTTTAGTTCCCAGAAAATAAAAATAAAAAAGTTTAGTTTATCTATTCCAAAAAAATCACTAAGTCATTATACATTTTTAACTCCTTCATGCATGACTTTTTATTTTTTTCCCAAAAAAATTGTACTGAATCTAAAATATATCAGGATTATGGGGAAAATATTAAAAAAATGATTTCGGCACAACTTCCCCTTATTTCTCCTCAAAGTTTAATTCGTGCCTAATATGGCACAACGCACACCAAATGTATGTTTGTGCCACTTATGGCCATCATGCATTAAAAAACACAATTTTTGTTTGTGCCATATCTGGAACAATATGCACTCAAAACAAATGTTGTCATAATTGGTATTCATTTTTTGGCATTTTTTTTTATTACTGACATTTATTTGTGATATATATTATATAAGATAACTAAAAAACATGATTTGTGTAATTATCATATTTTTTTTTTAATAATGTAAGTAACGAATTATAATAACTTTTTATGCATGTTGTCTCATATTGGGCACACAATAAGTTTTTGTTGTATTTCAAAAACTATTATACTTAAAAAACTGTTCTTACTTTTAAAATATTTTCCACAAAATTCCCTACAAGGTAGTAATTTTTTTTTTTAAATTCGGTAGTTTCAATTTTTTGTTATGATAGCATGAAAGAAATAGTTTTTACCCGACGCGGTGATAATATTTTCAGTTGTTTATTGTTCATCTATAATTCACAATTTTAACGCTAGATGAAGGTACTTTACATCAAAATGGGTCAGTTTTTTGTGCCGAATTCGGCCGTCTATGTAGTTATGTCATAAATTAATTTCCAAAGCAACAAATAACAAAAAACTTATTTGTGCCATATACGACACAACATGCACGAAGGGGTTAAATCATTGGTAACATTCATGACGAACCCATACGCTCTGACGGAAAATCAAAACTTTCATGGCCATTTGTCAAAGTTATAAGATATTTTATTATGTTACCTTTTGTATAGACCCGTGGCACATAATACACATTCATAAAAAATCGTGAGATTGATCCCTTGATATCAATGTCATAGTACAAAAATGAATTATTAAAGAAGAGAAATGCAACTGTTCAGTGTATTTCTCCTTGTGAAATTGTAAGTATATATTATAATTTATATTATTGTTTATATCTTATTATTAGACGCACGTCCATGGCCATCTGTGTATAACCTAGTTATAAAATACTAATCAAAACGCATTACAACAAGTAATAATATCGCCACCATCAATATATTGGTACATAAGTCTCTACAATCAAATCGTTTTTTTTTATTTTATGTATATAATATTATTGTGTTATTTCTATTTTACTAGCGTTAGGTAGAATACGAAATAACTAACGGAGTACAGTTTTGAAAGTCTAAAACCATTGTGATCGACTGAGGGCAGTGTAAAGGAATTTTTTGCGTACAAATCAATCGACAGTAATTATAAGTCACGGCAAAATAAATTTCCCGGTATGTACAGAGTGATACGCTGATCGTTGAGTTGTTTAAATGTTTAAGGAGCCGACAAGGAATAGACACGCCGTGAGTATAATTAGTTTGGATAAATCTTGTTGGTCAATTATTATTATTATTATTTTATTGGAGTCATAGACGAATGACATGTGTCCTGGTTCTTTGGCGTGTGTACACAAGAACGTATTACAAATGTATCGGTATTGAATTGCAGCTGTGCCATTTAGACTTCATAGCAATTATTATTTAATTAAAACGTACAACGGAGTTGTTTGCTATCGAAAGGCTAATGGCCGAGAAAAGCTACCGCGTAGTATGTTTAACAAATCGCCCTGTACACTGGTCGGTTACTCGAAAAGTGTCATAATGGTAATTTCTGAACAATCAACACGACTGACGACTTTGACCGCACACGTTTGGGGTCACTGTAAAAACGACTCGGCAAAAAACTGCATAGGTACACTGACAGTGGTGTCGGCCGACTGACTCGAAACCGCATCAAGATCGGTTTCAAAGTACTTAAGCTTAATTTTGAAGACCGACGATTGCACGTTTATCCGATTTGTTATAATACTCGTAATTACAATCACCTATCAAAAAATGTCGTCATGTCGCCTAAATAGTTCACGGATATCAACGGAAATAAAAAATAAAAAATAATATAAAAATAATAATAAATAATTAATTAAAACATATATTATGTCCGTAAAATATATTTAGCTCCACGACAGCGAAAATGCGAAAATCCACTTCACCTTGCCACAGCCGTTCGAGTAAGTAAACTCACCGATTATAATTTATATTTATACAATATAATATAACCATTACATACAAGTATACAACCGAATCAGGTTGACAATGTATGTGTTGTACCTACTTATGTCGTATGGTTGTTAGTGGAAGTCCGTTGAAAATTTAAGACGGCTGAAAAAATTCTGCTCGTCATAAGTTACAGAATACGTATTTTAATTATAAATTTCGTTATATGGCACAGCTATTGTATGATCCACATAGCAACTACGAAACGTTAATATTTTTTTTACAATGTTTTGAAGTTTGATGTAGGCATAATCAATGCGTTTTTCTACCACCAATGGAATAAAAGAAAAATGTAGAAACACCTAAACAAAATTAAAGACCTAACACGTGCCTGTGTGTGGTTAACCCTGTTCCTTAAAAGTCAAATCGATATAGATAAGTGTTGTGGTGTGTCCGAGGACGTCACAATAAAGGTGTCAGATTAATATGTATACGAACTGTTTGTTATCATTATGTCCGCAGTCCGTACAATAACCATTGCCAGCATTATTGAACATTAATTTCCACCGATATATAGGAAAATAATAGGCACAGAAGTACATTAATAAATAAAAACAGTTTTTGGTCAAAAACAAAAATTAATGATTTAAAATAAAAACTTAGTCAAATAATTGCGTGTTCTAGCAATGCAATTCAAAGATTAAAACTGTAAAGTAAAGTATGGAATTTTTAATTGCAAGAAATCTACGTGCTTTTATGCAGTTTTAAAGTTAATGGCTGAGCGCTTATATATAAACTTTGCAACTGTTAAATAGATTAATTATGGATTTGTTCAGACCCAAAACACAAACCTGCTCAATGCCTTAATGGTTATAATTTATAATGAAGAGAAATAATTTTCAAATTATTTCTATAAAGTATATTAGATAAATATATTAGTTGTCGTTAGTTAAAATTTCTTTTGTTTTGTTTTCTAAAGATTTAACGCGTTTTATGCTAAGCTAAATGACACAAAAAAAGAACCTAAACATTATTTTAAGATTAAATTGACGCATAATTTAAGCTTACCAACCCACTGTGTTTTTGATTATTTTTTAAACACTACTACCACCTCATTAGGTAGAACAACAATTGTAATAACCTAGTGGCGAATTTGTCGATCGTTAACAAACTATTTATTACCAATAAAAATCACTTTACATATAAAACGATTGTTAAACTCTTTAAAAAGTTATCATGTGTCTGGATACAAAAAAAAACAAATGACAAAATAATGCCATCTCAGCTTTGCATCGTAGTTAAAAAAAAGTACAAAAACATTATTGTAAAACCAGTACGTTCTCGGCTCTACACCAAATTTGAAATACAACATTTAACTTGTGTTAAACAATAAAAAAACGGGATAATAGAACAAATAAAAGTCTCTTGGGATAATCCTTCGATTATTTTATTACAAGTCACAATACCACAAAAACGATAGTAATATTGAAACAAGCGTTTCAAATTCGCGGACTTGTACATCCTTGGGGAAAACAATTTATTATAACTTTTATTTTTAAACTACGTTTAATTCATTTTGGTAAAACAAATGGTTTTTTCTACTTAACCCTTCACTGCACAATGTTCCATATATGGAACGATTGTATTTATTGTTTATATCTGCTCATGCTATACATTTTTGTATGCACAATGTTCTATAATGTTCCAAATTCTTTATACAGCGTTTTCCATGAAACCAAAACTCAAAAAAAAATTTTTTTTTTTTTGAAGTAGTATTAAGTACATTTATAGCTAAATTTATGGCTAAAAAAAAATTCATGCAGAGAAGGGTTAAGGGTTGTTTGAGATGAGTGAATTTTTTTTTTTGATACGTTTTATACGTTTTTAATATACTTTTAAGAGTTGAGAAGTTGTCATTAGTAGATAATTAATTGTTTTGTATGCGAGATTTGACAATATTGTATATGTACTCAATAATTCAAAAAATTTTAATTTTTTAAATAATCATTTAACCAGTCTGGATAGGTTGGCTTGGATTTCCCCAGAATTAATTTTATATTTGTTTTTTGATAGTATAATAATATTACAATTCTTATATATCATACCTATTATATTATTGAAAGTATAAAGTAATATTTATTAACCTATAAACATAGTAAACCTAGTAAAAATATTTGCAACTGGAACCGGATTTTTACAAGGTCATAAATCGAGAATATTAATTAAATTGTTCAGAACATATTGGTAATTATTATGAAAACTATTATAGCACTATGAACAACTTTTAACTAATAAAATTAATATCTGAAAAATTATAACTAAAATAATTTAAAAATTGAATTGTTGCGAAACTTAATACAATTCAAGTTTTATCTTTAATCTTTTAAATTTTAATAGATATTTTTTAATAATACTCATTTAATGAATACTCTTATTAAGAAAAACAATCTACATATAGATTTATAATATCAAATGTAATATTAAACATTAACAAGACATAATATTATTATTGATTATTGAATCTCATTTTTTGTGAATTTTTTCTTTTTTTTAGTATACATTATACGTGCATTATTCGTCTAATTCCTAATAAATTAAACAAATCGAACTGGTCACTTTTACCAAAGAAGTAGTTATTGTATCATAGTTATATATTTTTCGTTTTCTATTCTTAATTCGATTTACTGGTTCACGGTAACAAATGCACCGTTAAAATCAATGTTATTTTTAAAATTGGTCATTTCCCATTGCATTATTCTTTCTCAATCCATTTGTTGGTGTAATACACAAAAAATAACGGATACCATATATATATATATATATATATACTTTTTTTATTAATTTTGATCTAACAAGTAAATATTATAGTAGCATAACTAATAATATTATTACAACTACTACTTGATTAAGTCATTGTCATACACTAGTAAATAATATAAACCTCACTAGCACTGAAGAATCGGAGATAAGAGTCAAAAAAAATTGTACTCAGTTAAATATTTAATAATAATAATTAATAATAGTTAATAATATTATTATATAATTGTTTTTTTCTTTTTCCCCAGTCATTGGTATGCCAATAATTTGTGTTTTACCAAAAAACGAATCTCACTCTCACATCAAAATATTACCTATTAAAATAACCGAATTTTTAGTAGTACTTATTTACTATAATTTTATAGAACATTATAGGATTTTAAATTTAATATTTTCATAGGTAGGTATTATGTAAATAAATTTGATAAAAAAAATTAAGTGTCGTTTAAATTGTAAACATGCATAGTATTATTATGTACTTACTGGCTTTTGGCAGTTGATATAATAAAAGTGAAACGATACAAAGAATAATGAAGATTAACATGACCCTTGCGTAAGGATGACAAACAAAATCGTTAAAAACCACTATAGTCGTATTATAATACTTAATGGGGTTCTTTTAACTCTACGGGTACTTTGTATAAAAATTTCAAGAACGTTGTATCAACAAAGAAAGAACAGTGTAACTAAACAAAGATAAACCTACTAGCTGATTGTCACTACTGTCATATCGATCGCACTAAAACCTAAACAAATTATTTTTATAAAATCATTCAACATAAGAAAATATATTTGAAAAATCTTAAATCCTAGCTCTAAAAGATAAAGCCTAGTAGTTAAAATCTCAATTTTGCTAAAATAGTAATGACTGTCCACCGAAGATTTTACTTGTGAATTTTGGCAAAGGTTAGGTTAAAAATCAATTATAAATATGGTTTGGAGACGTATTTGAAATTCGGGCTTGTATTATAATATTATAGTACCTACTTAGCCTACTGAGTAGGCTAAAAGGCACACATTGCAGTGAAAGTTTCACTACATGACTTTTGGCTCACGCTTCACTCATTGTCAGTACATATATTTTGTTATTCTTAATTTTTTCTACGCCACCAATATTGAAATCTCAAAACCACAATATCTATAAATATAATGGTTAAATTTGACAGTAAGCCTAGACAGTAGTACCTAGAAATGGAAAATAGGTCAATCGGATGACTTGGGTCATTAAGTCAGGATCGTTCAAAAGACCCAATTCTTAAATTGTTTGTATCATTCCCTTCGACCGTGACAAAATATTTCTATCTAGACCTATTATTATACGAGTACCTAATGTTAGTTACCTGGTTAGGTTCGGTTATCATACAAATTAGAGCTGGGACTTCAAATGTCCTACATACTGTAGAACACAACATGTTTCAAAATTTGATGGTTTAACCTCCTAGGCATAATAACTTAGGTTAATAATTATGTAGAGCATTTTGTCCTTATTAAGAATTAACATTTAACAATTAACAATTTCTAAAGATTTGAGGCGAGTATTCTTTTTATCTAATTTAGTTTAAATTTAGCAATATTGGCCTAACTTATTTTGTATTAAAAGGTTAGGTATTGCATTTAATAGAATACTTATGTAGAATAAACTTCGACAACATTTGTGGTTATATATTATAAAATAATAAAATATTTAAATAAACCCTTAACCACAAAAATAATACTGTATAGCGTATATTATGTATTTCGGCACCATGTTACCATCTTCAGCTCATACAACAGACTAATGGTAAAAAAAAGTATAATATCGTGGATTACTTTAATAATTAATCAACTTCTTAATCATAATATAATACTAGATTGATATAAAAATTATTTATAATTCTTGAAACAACGTGGCCGAAACAAATATGATATAAACTAACGAACGACTTTTTTTTATCACATATGATCCGGATCGACTCGTTCACTATAGTGTGACCCGTTCAAAAAGAAGTTTTTGCACCACTGACAATCCATACCTCTTTTGATTTAACCTCTGAGTGAATTTAGATCAAAACACTTCGCTTATTCATCATATTTTTGCGATAGTCTTGCGTAGTTGAATTTTAACAATCCAACGGCATAGTTTGGCGTTACTTATGCAATTTGGAAAAATCATTAATTCTGTTATATAATATCTTTATTAAGCAACTTAAACAACTGACAAATTGGTAAAATATTTTTTTTGAAAAGCATATTTTTACTTTTGACTTTAAACTTTTGTGAGATCAATTTTATGTTTATTTTTTCTCTTGTTCATATTTGTATGGACAATTAAAAATGACTTTATGGTTTAACAACTACGAGTATGTTTTATACACTTTGTATACAGGCTACAAGGGGTAAAGACTACAGTGGTATATTTCCCATTAGATACAATAGACGTGTCTAAGGTTTTTAATTTTTTAATTTATACCGAATGCCTTATCTACCTATAATTATAGTGATTCGAATCAAGTCACACTAACTATGATATCGAGTAAAAAATAAAATTACAGCTTACAATGACCACGGGCTAAGATGTTTTAGGACACAAAATATCATCATCAAGTTCACCAATCGACTACCTACGTAACCGTAGAATCCTAAGACCAGCGATTACTGGGGAAGAGGGGATGGTGTTGAATTTTTTGAATTGTTCCAGTTAGAAAGTGGTTCGTGATATAATATCATGTCAACAACAACAAACCGAAGGCGTTAATGGATAGGAAAAAATAACTAAAACAATACAACAACAAGCAATTGTTATTGGTGAGTCGAGGTCTTTTAGTGTTTTGGGCTTTGGCGACCGCATAGCGGATAAAGACCGTTGTCCGGTTTGGCGCGCGCGAATCCACATGGTCATCCAGCCACCACCGCCGGACAACGGCCCGCGGCGGCTTACATAAGATTGGCCATTGGTGCGCAGCGGCCGACCGGGTGGGGGGGCGCACGCCGTGACCGGTCCACCTTGAGAAATCGGCGGCGTAGGCGAAGGAGGCGGCCGACAGGCGACAGCGGCCGCGTCAATCGCGTTGTGATGCGTGCCCGGGTGACATGCAGCCGGCCAAACGAACATCGGCGGTACTGAAATTGGGCCGGTACATAGTGCGGTGTCTGACCGCTCAGCCGGACATCTGGTTTCTTTTGTACAAGTGCGGTCAGCTAATTGCGGTCAACGTGCACGAACCGGTGGCCCGGAGCGTGGGCCTATTGGACGAGCTGTTCGAGGGCCAGGGACTGCTGCAGACCGATCACTGTCCGGCCGTGGGCACCAGCAGATCCGAGACGCCGGCCACCGGCACCGCCGACGACGTGCCGCCGGACAACGATCAGCACCGGGGTATGGAAGAAGAGGACGACGACGAATACGAAGTGATTGGAGAAGAACAAGAAGAACAGGGCTACGACCCTTTGGCCATGTTCGTCGGCCGACCGTACCATTGCACTGGCACCGACAACATCAGAGGTATGTACCGCCGACGCGTTCGGTCTACATTTGGGAATATGCAGCTAGGAATAATTCGTCATTGTTGTTGGTGTTTTTGTAGTCGGCGGTAATGTGACAATCGATTCGCTATCGCCGCCAACAATTAGTTAAGGCACAAGAGACCGGCTCCTGTTATTGTTATTATAACAGTGGTCACTATTATAAACCCAGTCCGTTTTTATAAACTTTTATGTAACCGTATCGTGGCCAGCAAAATAATTCTCGTAGGCATTGTATGCACACACATTAGAAGGCCTAGATATATGTCTATGCATCTAGGCGCTTTATAAGTATACGCACACAATATTAATATGATATGTATTTACAATAATACAATCGACATTACTCAATAAAAACCGTGCAATACAAATAGACGGTGTGGTGTAAGAAGATTGTCAAATCAAAAATAGCAGTTTTTCAGAATACAAGAAAACTTGCCATTTTCAAAAACAAATATTGATTCCTGTAAAAAGTTACAATTTTGCCTTGACAACCTTCTCATAAACGTCGCGTCGTTCGAATTTGGAGATTTTAATATCTACAAAATTTAGAGACACATATTCGTATTTCGTCTGTAAGGCATTTGGATATGATATTAAGCCTAGTATATTAACACGTTGTCTTTATCCTTGTCACTTGTGATTTAATTATTTCGAAATCCAGACAAATCAGAGTCCGGAAAATATGAAACATACTCGGAAATTGTATAATTTAGCCTTTGATGTATTTAATATTATATATAATATTGCCATTAGTTGAATAACTAATTACGTTAATGGTTGTTGATATTAAGGAAATAACTAACTTAATTTTCAAAAAAAACCAATATGGAATTATCTCAAAAAAAAAGTGGCACCGACATATGACAAGTTACACAATTCAATATTTTATTCTGCAATATAATTTTCATTACAACACTAGCTAAAAAAGATGCATAAAACATTATCTTTTATTTGATTAAATATTACTTTTAACAGAAGAGTGTAAAAATTAGTATGACATGCATCAGTAAACAATTGTTTACTGTAGTCCGGCCAATGTAAAAATAAATTATAATAATGGGTTTTCATTCTTTCAAACACGTGTGATAAACAACAATTAACTTATAAGCCGTGTAAACATTGCGTATGACGCATATTCTATATTATTCGGTGAAGTAATATCGACTTGAGTGTTTACTTTGTTTAACAAACAAACATTTTGAGTGAACATTTAACCTATAATTTAAATTCTCATACCTATAATTGAGCGATTATTTCTCAACATCGCAATTATTGCAATATTTCTAGAATTCTAAAGCTTTTGTTTTTGGATGATCGTCAAAATTAGGCAAAGAGATATTCGAGGAATATTTAATTGCCAACCTAATACCTGTTTTGTTCAGAACCGTGATTTAATCAGTCTGGATACAAGAAACAAGTAAAACATATTCCACAGGACACAAGGTTAATCCACCGCGATTCGTCCAGTAGTACAAAATAACAAATCTTAAAATTAATATTATACTAGCAAAAATCACTTCGTTAGGAAAAACTGGATATTTTAGTTTAATTGAATTTGTGTTATTGACAGTTCAAATAGCGTTATTATATAGATATACAGAGTTTTTAACATCATTTTTTCTAATATCTTTCAACACGCTCAAATGCAACTATTTCAATTTACTCGTTCCCTTTAACTGCTTTTGGTGACATTCCTAATCATCCACAAATTTCTTTAGTCTAAATGGTAATAACATATTATTCTGTTTCATCCATGTCAATGCAACATTATTGTTATCTATTACTGGACTATCATAGTTAGGTTTAGAAGACCAGGCGAATATAATTGGCAAATATATTGTAATAATATATTATCTTGCAATCGTAAATGGCTCTCGAATTTGCATTTTTTTTTTCAAGTGTATTTAAGCATGCACACACTTCGTATTCGCCGACGGCTTCACTGCAATTGTGTTAAGCAAATAAACCGTATCGCTTGTGTTTTCCTTAACCAAATTTCGCTTCTCCGTACCATAAAATAAATAAAAGACTGACCTACTATTCGCTGTTTACCAATAATCATTTTCTCTAGATAGCTCTAATACAAAATAA